TTGTCTCCCAATCAGAAACATTTTGTCTTTTGGAATATGAAGAATATCACTGCAGAATAACCAACAAACAGAGGACTGAATGATAATGCTTTTATCATTTTGGGAGCAGCCTCTCAGGGTTACTTTTAATGCCTGGGGCACATTAGAAATTCTATTAATAGAATTGTGTGTTGCTTATCTTAGACTCTGGCACCTTGTGGTCTCTATAAGGGTTGCCAAAGGAAAAGATTTTCAGAATCAACAGTATAACAGCAGCTTCTTCACATGATGTGTTAAAATAAATCCAATAAACTAAGGCAGTAGATGAAACATAATCTTGACATTGCTAAAACTGCAAAAACATCATAAATAAACCATGAACAACCAGAAATACCCAAAATATCAATTTTAAAAGCACACCTATATTTCAAGTTGAAGCTTTTCCAAATACAACTTTTCTAGAAGTTTTCATTTTGTAGTAGTAACTTCCACTCTAATGTTTTATTTCAAATTTTCACAGACTCACTTACAGAAAACAGTGCACAGTATAAATAGCGGGGACAGGTATATTTTGTACTAAAGTCTATTCCATTTGAAGTGTGGCTCCACCTATAAGACCAGGCAGATCAAACTAGCTTAGCTTCAGATAAAATCCTTGTGCAATTCACCAATAAACTGTAAACATGAAACATCAGAAAACGGTTACCAAACTAGTTTGACCTTGCACTGATCTACCAAAGCAAAGTCAAATGTGTCTTACTCATATTTTCTATCTTTTTGGGGGGGAAGGGGTGGCATGGCAGGGCAGACTGAATGATAATACTTATGTGACCTCTTCTTCCCACTATTACATGTTCCATACCTCCTGAAATTATGATACAGAAGACAAAAATATTATCAATTAAGGGTAAGTGGCAAAAACCATAAGCTTTGTGCTATAGTTTGTGTTACAGTATAGGAAGTATGGATGGAAATTACTGTCTGGACAAGAAAACACCTACTACAAGAATATGGTGCTAATAGCATATAAAATACTGGCAGGCATTTTACATCTATGTGGATATATAAAAGGTGACATATCGCCACCAGGACAAGTACTTTAGGACTTGGCTAAATCAGTGTAGAGAAAAAGAGAGCTGATCTTGAGTTCCAGTTTAATCATAACCATTAGTGCTATGTACCCAATCATGAACACACAGTACAGGGTACAACTTGTATAGCATACAGTGAGTTCAAGGGATGTACATCTTGTCAGTTCACCTGGGTTATCTTCTGAGAATATGGGAGTGGGTAGGACAAGAGGAGGAGAGTTCTTAAAAGGGGGCAGCAATGGAGAACACAGAAAGATCCCATCATGGGCCATTGGTGCAATCCTGTAAAACCTGCTAGCTATAGAGAATGAACATCATTTTCCACAGGGAAGCAGCCAGAGACTCTATTCCTGTGAATGGATTGATCCAAAGGAGGCAGTCAGAAAAGGAAAGAAGAAGTAAGAAGGGAGGCAAGAAACACAGACTGATGGTGAATATTGGGTACATTCTTCATGTTGACACTTCCTCCACATTTGGGATACCACCGGTGAATGCCTTGCCCTCTCTACCCCAATTTATCTGTATGTGTTATAAAACTTCACAGCTGATAATTAGAAGGTAAGATTTTTCTAACCTTATAATGTATTCAGGATTAAATATTCCAATGGTAAAGGAGTGTTGGATTGACAATGTGAGCAGCACTTGGCTGTGCAGGGAGACAACTTGAGCACCTGATGTAAAATTGTGATTTAAAATGGAATGTTTAACTCTATTGACATTTTCACTAAAATGTATTTCCTGAAGCCTTTGAATGGTTAGCTACTATTAGCTGTTAAAGGGTGTAAAGGCTGGCAACTGTCATCTAGAGGACCTTTTCATTGGCCATCATAGACTGTGGAATGACTCTCTGGAAAAAAAAATCTGACAGCTCAATGGGCTGTCAGAATTTAAAATAGAATTAAAGATCTGGCAGGCCTAGCCAGTCAATTTTAAACTATGAATTTTAAATTAACATTTTATCAGAATCACAGAATTATAGAGTTGGAAGCAACTACAAGGGCCATCCAGTCCAACCCCCTGCCATGAATGAACACCCAATCAAAGCTCTCTCAACAGACAACCATTCAATCTCTGCTTTAAAAACTCCAGAGAAGAACACTCCACTATGCTCAAAGGCAACTTATTCTAACCGCCTGGGAGTTCTTCCTAATAACCAGGTGAAAGCTCTTTTCCTACAATTTGAATCCATTGCTTTATTTTCTAGTCTCCAGAGCAGCAAAAAACAGGCTTGTTCCATCAATGTGACATTCTTTCAAATATTTAAAAATTATTATAATGTCCCCTCACAACCTTTTTCTCATCATGTTAGGAATTGTGGGAGTTTAAGTCCAAAATACCTGGAAGGCCGCCATTTGCCCATGCCTGCCTTAAAACATCCCTCTTATTATTATTACCTACAAATTCATATCAATTATTCTAAGCCACAATATTTTGAAACTGGCCTTTTCTCAGCTACCAAAAGCATTTAGAGAACTCAGGGTGCCTCTACATTGTAGAATTAACATTGTTCGACCCCCACCAACTGGTTTGTTATACTGGCTTTACAATTTTAATTTTTAACTATTAATAGTTTAAACTATTGAATCCTGTTTTAATTTAGTATAGTCTAATTGTGTATTGTAGTTATGTTTGTTTAATTTACTATCCAGTTCTATTATTATTTGATATTTGCTGTTTAATATGTTCCCAATTGTTTATGATTGTTTATTTTTTCATGCACTTTACAGCAAGATAGAAATAAAGTTTTATCATCATCATCATCATCCTTGAGGTGTTAAGAGGGGGATAACACATTATTATTATTATTATTATTATTATTATTAGTAGTAGTAGTAGTAGTATTATGGCCCTCTGGTGTGGTGCAGTGGGTTAAACCACTGAGCTGCTGAACTTGCTAACCGAAAGATTGGTGGTTTGAATCCAGGGAGCGGGGTGAGCTCCCACTGTTAGGCCCAGCTTCTGCAAACCTAGAAGTTCAAAAACATGAAAATGTGAGTAGATCAATAGGTACCACTCCAGCAGGAAGTTAACAATGCTCCATGTTGTCATGCTGGCCACATGACCTTGGAGGCGTCTACAGACAATGTCAGCTCTTCGGTTTAGAAATGGAGATGAGTGCCACCACCCTAGAGCTGGACACGACTACACTTAATGTCAGGGGAAACCTTCACCTTTACCTTATTATTATTATTTGTTTTTTTATATATACTACTGGTTTATTTTGTATTGTACTGTTTATGTTATGTATTGTATTAGGCACTTTGTGCCATGTGTAAGCCGCCCTGAATCCCTTCTGGAGATGGAGACGGGGTACAAAAATAAAGCTGTTATTATTATTATTATTATTATTATTATTATTATATACAATAATCAATACACAAAAAACAAGATCACTACGCTGGCTTTTGTATTCGATCACTCATCAGACACTTCCCAAGTGTCTAGGATCGTGTGATGTATTGGCGAGTAATGTGTGCCGATCCAAGTAGGGTGGCCTTGTGCAGGGGACAGATGGTACTTTTACCAGCGGCGATTGTTTCTAAGTGCAGACCAAGTGTCTTTCAGCACTGCACCCAGTATGCCGATCACCACTAGTGGCTTGTGCAGATTAATCTTTAAATCCTCAAACTGTGTAAGCAGTTTTCAAAGTCTGACTTGTTACTGCCTGGGGGAATCCTTTGTTGAGAGGTGATTAGCTGTCCCTGACTGTTTCCTCTCTGGAGTTCCCCTATGTTTGAGTATTGTTTCACTGTTATAATTTTAGAGTTTTTTAATACTGGTAACCAGATTTTGTTCATTTTCACGGTTTGCTCCTTTCTGTTGAAATTGTCCACATGCTTGTGGATTTCAGTGGCTTCTCTGTGCAGTCTGACATGGTGGCTGTTAGAGTGGTCCAGCCAGGCATGTAGCTGGGGGGGGGGGGGCTTGGGGGGGGCTTGGGGGGCTTGAGCCCCCCTCCAAAAAAATTCTCATGGTGGTCCACGAGAAGGCCTTACTGATACATTATTTAAACTGTTATGTTTATTCATATCATGATCTGATCACCATGCTCAATATATCCCATATGCATGGGCGTACTGGGATAACGATACAAAAGATTTGCTAGGGTAGACCCTCTTTCACTCAAACTCAGTCCCCCCCCCTCCGAACCAAACTCAGCCCCCCGAAACAAAATCCTGGCGATAGGCCTGGGTCCAGCATTTCTGTGTTCTCAAATAATGTGCTATGTCCAGGTTGTCCAGGTTTATCAGCGCCGATTGTTTTTAAGTGCAGGCCAAGGTCTTTCGGCACTGCACCCAGTATGCCGATCACCACGAATGGCTTGTGCAGTTTAATCTTTAAATCCTCATACTGTGTAAACTTTTCCAGTGCATTCTCATCCATTCTGCTGTTGCCTGGGATTGCAACATAGATGATCCATAGTTTGTTTTTCCCACGATCGATCGTGAAGTCAAGAGTATTGTATTATTATTGTTGTTATCATCGTACCAGCCTTAAGATCTGAAGGGAGGCATGTAGGATGCTGATATTTCCCCTACTTGTCTCTTGCTGTGACTTATTATTATTATCATTATGATCCTCCAAGGCAGTCATGGGCAAACTTGGGCCCTCCAGGTGCTTTGGACTTCGACTCCCATCATTCCTGACAGCCTCAGGCCCTTTCCTTTTGCCCCTCAGCCACTTAAAAAGGAAGGGGCCTGAGGCTGTCAGGAATGATGGGAGTCGAAGTCCAAAGCACCTGGAGGGCCCAAGTTTGCCCAATGCTGCTCCAAGGTGTGTGTGTGTGGCTGGTTCCCGGCCACATCCCCATCTTCTTTGGGCCTTTGGAAGTGACGCCTGTGCAGGCCTCTCCCTGACAGCCGGAGGAGCGAAGGGGCCGCGGTTAAGGGAGGAAAGGAAAGGCGAGGAAGGGAGGGGGGTTCGATCTACCTGGTGCAGCGCCGTCAGCCCGTCCACGTTGGCCGTGTTGAGGCGGGCCCCGCGGGCGAGGAGCCGCTTCACCTCGTCCGTGTCCCCGCTGGAGCAGGCGGCCAGGAAGACGGCGCCGTCCTCGAAGCGGACGCGGGCCCCTCCGCGGTACCGGCTCCGGGCGGGGGTCACCGGCTCCAGCTCCGTCAGGGAGCCCTTCCAGCGCTTCAGCTGCTCCGCGCGCCTCACGCGCGCCGACTCGGCCCGCTTCACCCCTAAGTGCCCGGGCTCCGACATGGCTGGCTGGCTAGCCGGCTGCTCCGAGCGCTGCTCGCCCCTCAGCAGCGCCGCCGAGCGCCGCGACGCCCCCGACTCTCAACACAGCGCCTCAGACCGGCCGCCATCTTGGCCATTCCCTCCCCCGTCCCCCGCCCCTCCCTCCAGAGAATTATTGGAGCGGTGCCTTATGGGAAACGTAGTTCCAAGGGACTCGGGGAGGCAAAAAGTCCCCTCCGAGGCATAGAAAGAGACAACTCAGCCTCTTTTCCACTGAGCTACTCAAGCGATACCCTAAAGCATCATGGGAAACGTAGTTCTAAGGCGCTGAAGCTTATTAGAAAGGCTGTTTGGGTTGCTAGGGAGGAAAGGGAGTGAGAGGAATTATTGGGAAGTGGAAACTAATGGTGCAGTAGCTAGGCCTAGGACAATGATGGGCAATCTTTTGAGCTTGGTGTGTCAATGCTTGCCAAAAAAAGAGCATAACTCGGGTCGGGTGTCACTTCGAGAAAAAACTATAATTTCATGATATTTATAGTTTAATAACAAAAATATATTATTTTAATATATAACTGTATTTAATAAACCAAAAACTAATTATTTAACTTACGCGCTTTTTCTATAATGCCATATATCTCAGCATTATAGAAAAATGCTGGTGTAGGAGCCAAAGATGAAATGTCCTTCTTGGGATGCGGCTCCATCTCCTCTGTATGTGGCCGCATGCGACCGTGTGTCATCGAAAATGGCTACGCATGTCAGTGCTGACACACGTGTCATAGGTTCGCCGGTCAAGTTAATCATAGAATCATACAATCAAAGAGTTGGAAGAGACCTCATGGGCCATCCAGTCCAACCCCCTGCCAAGAAGCAGGAATATTGCATTCAAATCACCCCTGACAGATGGCCATCCAGCCTCTGTTTAAAAGATTCCAAAGAAGGAGCCTCCACCACACTCCAGGGCAGAGAGTTCCACTGCTGAACGGCTCTCACAGTCAGGAAGTTCTTCCTCATGTTCAGATGGAATCTCCTTTCTTGTAGTTTGAAGCCATTGTTCCGCTTCCTAGTCTCCAGGGAAGCAGAAAACAAGCTTGCTCCCTCCTCCCTGTGGCTTCCTCTCACATATTTATACATGGCTATCATATCTCCTCTCAGCCTTCTCTTCTTCAGGCTAAACATGCCCAGCTCCTTAAGCCGCTCCTCATAGGGCTTGTTCTCCAGACCCTTGATCATTTTAGTCGCCCTCCTCTGGACACATTCCAGCTTGTCAATATCTCTCTTGAATTACGGTGCCCAGAATTAAGTAAAGGACAAGAGTCCTTTGCCCCACTCTGGCCATTCCACAGATATACTGTATAAACTCTTTTTCCTAGTTCCAACAGACCCCACTACCTCTGAGGATGCTTATTATTTATTTATTTATTTATTTACAGTATTTATATTCTGCCCTTCTCAACCCGCAGGGGACTCAGGGCGGATTACAATGTACACATATATGGCAAACATTCAATGCCAATTTGACATACAACTACAGACATACACAGAGGCTATTTAACTTTTTCTGGCCGCCAGGGGAGCTGTCGCTTTCATCGTCCATCTGCGACACTGATGAAGTACTTCCGCATTCCCCGCATGCTTTGCTGGAGTGCTTTGCTGGAGTCTTTTTTATGGCCTCATAAATTAGTTAATTTAGCCTCCCCACACAAGGTGGTACCTAGTTTTCCTACTTGACAGATGCAACTGTCTTTCATATATGGTAACGATATATATGGTAAAGGTTTTCCCCTGACATTAAGTCCAGTCATGTCCAACTCTAGGGGGTGGTGCTCATCTCCATTTCTAAGCCAAATAACCGGCATTGTCTGTAGATGCCTCCAAGGTCATGTGACCAGCATGACTGCCATCGAGCGCCATTACCTTCCCGCTGGAGTGGTACCTATTGATCAATTCACATTTTCACATTTTTGAACTGCTAGGTTGCCAGAAACTGGGGCTAACAAAGGGAGCTCACCCCATATGCGGATTCGAACTGCGACCTTTCGGTCAACAAGCTCAGCAAGTCAGCGCTTTAACCCACTGCGCCACCGGGGGATCCAGGCCTAGGATAGCAATGCCTTTAAAAAGGCATGGGCAAACTTCGGCCCTCCAGGTATTTTGGACTTCAGCTCCCACAATTCCTAACAGTCTAGGAATTGGGTTGCTGTAAGTTTTGTTACAGTGAGTCGTAACAGGATCAAGTATGTGTGTGTGTGTGTGTTAAAGAAAACCTTATTCTGTTTATTATTATGTGCAGCTGCTAATGTAGGCCAACTAGTAAGTTTGGACCACACCCGGTGGGGTATAACTGTATGGATTTTAGAATACAGTTCAGCTTTACTCTGAGGAGCCTTCGTTCAAGCATTTTGCTCAACCATTTGTACTTCTCTCTCAATTGGATGAAGACGAAGAAGCCTTATTCTGTATTGCTTACAAGGTCTATGTAAGTTTGTTGCACTGTTTGTTTGGTTTGCAACACCGCAAGTTTATGTTTTGACTCTGCTGATAAGAGTAAAGTTTTTCTGTTCTTTTCCCTCTTGCCTATGTACAATGTTATTGTGTCTTCTGCATTGGACCTGACTGAAACCCGCTATTTGTAACAAGTTTTTCGGGTTGTATGGCCATGTTCCAGAAGCATTCCCTCCTGGTGTTTCACGTGCATCCTCAGAGGTTGTGAGGTCTGTTGGAAACTAGGAGAATGGGGTTTATATATCTGTGGAATGTCCAAGGTGGGAGAAAGAACTCTTGTCTCTTGGAGGTAGATGTGAATGTTTCAGTTGGCCACCTTGATTAGCATTTAATGGCCTAGCAGTTTCCAAGGTCTGGCTTGTTACTGCCTGGGGGAATCCTTTGTTGAGAGGTGATTAGCTTTCCCTGATTGTTTCCTCTCTGGAGTTCCCCTGTATTTGAGGGTTGATTTACTGTTATAATTTTAGAGTTTTTTTAATACTGGTAGCCAGATTTTGTTCATTTTCATGGTTTCTTCCTTTCTGTTGAAATTGTCCACGTGCTTATGGATTTCAATGGCTTCTCTGTGTAGCCTGACATGGTGGTTGTGAGAGTGGTCCAACATTTCCGTGTTCTCAAATAATATGCTGTGTCCAGGTTGGTTCATCAGTTGCTCTGCTATGGCTGACTTCTCTGGTTGAAGTAGTCTGCAGTGCCTTTCATGTTCCTTGATTTATGTTTGGGCAATGCTGCATTTGGTGGCCCCTATGTCAACTTATCCACAGCTGCATGGTATACAGTCGACTCCTGCAGAGGTGAGAGGATCCCTCTTGTCCTTTGCTGAATGTAGCATTTGTTGCATTTTCTTAGTAAGTCTGTAGATTCCTAAACAAAAACTCCAACTGTCACTCAAGTCAAAAAACACAGAATTAAAATAATAGATAATCCAAAATGTTAAAAAATAATAAATTTAATAAATTTGAAGTATGAGAGAATAAATCATTATATTAAATGGCATAGCTATAACAATAAACTATTTTGTGGACCTTGGAATGATAACTATAATTAATTATATTTGTAAAATAACATTTTAAGCACTGGTTTTGTGTATGTGCCTTCATTTAGCATGTCAACCTTTGGAGATCCTATGAGTTTCATAGCTGTTGAGACATTTAAATGTTATCTGTGTTCCTATTACTCATTGGCCCCATCTTGTGGGCAATTTGGCATTTGTTTCAGAATTTAATAACTGAATTGACAGTGTAAGACAATTACTGTAAATTGATTTTAATACAACATAGATGAAACATTAGACCATTGAAAGTGCAGCAGCTCATAAAAGAATTTCCGGAGTGATTCTGGAATGAAAATAGTGCTGATTAGAATAGGAATGACAGCTGACATGATTGAACATCATGTGAATTCTGAATCAGAAAGTGCAAATGCCTATGTGTGATTCACTCCTTGAAATGCCGCAAGGCTCTATGGATGATCCCGGTTGTCATGAACTACATTTTGGACAGCAACCTTAAAGCAGAAGAATGACTAAGAGGTCTCCCAGTGCCCAAGCCAAACAAACTCAAGAGTTCCGTGGGGAAATAATTCACATACCTTGTTGAGGAAAGAGGTATATATCTGGATTCTGACTGTGGCTCAGCCCTTTCTAGTAAGGAATTAACACTATTTTCTGCATTAAAATCACAACCTCAAGCTCCCACTTCAGACCATAGAGCAGTGATTCCCAACCTTTGGTGTTTTGGACTTCAGCTCCCACAATTCCTAACAGCTGGCAGGATGGCTGGGATTTCTTGGAGTTGAAGTCCAAAACACCTGGAGGACCAAAGGTTGGGAACCACTGCTATAGAGGCAGGAGGACAGTCATGTCAACACTTTGCTATATCCTCCTCAATGGACTGTCACCTTGTCGTGGTGAGGGGGCTTGCGCGTTCCAATGAACCTGTAGGCACAACAACTGGAGTCGTGCACTCCCAGGAGTGGCTGCGGGGGAGGTCCCAGACCAAGCACAGTCCGAAGACCCAAAGACCTCAACGGCGGAGCAGGTGGAGGATAACATGGCACATGTTACAACGGCTGCGAAGGCGGAAGAAGGCTGCAACAGACTGAGAAGCCACGGTCATTGTGTTAAACTACATCACCAGTGGAACCTCACTCTGTGAAGTCTCTGTGTTGATCAGTTGTGCACTGACCTCCACACATTAAAAAAACCCACGCACAGGCGTCTTCCAAAGAAAATAAAAACAAACCAACCAAAGCCCCATGGCGATCAGCGAGTGGCGACGGGGGCAGGACTGTGAAATCTGGAAGCCCCTAGTCACAGACTGGCACATGGGCGGTGGGTACGGACTCAGTCGTTCTACCTCAAGGTCCGAGGCAGTTGAGTAGTTCGGCAGCTGTATCCGCGACTGAGCAGCCCTTTTTAGGACCCACTCTGCTCACCCCACATGGGGAGGGGGCTAGAAAAGGTGCCCTAAACATAGTCTGCCTCACTTATCCCTGACTGGACTGCCGCGTCCAGTGGGGTCACCACCCTGCGGCCAAAAAAGAAAAATGAACTTCGGTACGTGGAACGTACGGACACTGATGGACAACAGTGACAGTGAACGCCCCGAACGCAGAACTGCCATCATTGCAAGGGAGCTGGGATGCT